TTCTCACTTAACGACCAGGTTCCGTTCCAATGGCCAGGTCGATAAACGAATTGGTCGATAAGCGAGAAGCTATACAAATCGTACATTTCACATTTTCATGATATCAAGGCTATCTAAAACCTTCGATAATGTGACAGAAGTGACGTAATCTTTTCTAGTTTTAAGTGAACCAGCTAATTCACCTCATAATTTTTAAAGAAAGAAAAACTTTCAACAGTCTAATTTTTTTTTTTTAGTACTTCAGCTTTCTCCTTACGTTTGTTGATACTTTCTGGGAAAATTAAAAATACCATAAAAATTCAAATATAACTGCTGAGTGATATACAATTTAATAAGGAAGGTACAGAATAGTATAATTTTATGTACATTTATGAAATTTTGGTTTATTATTTTTATTTTTTTCAAATTAATATCTGTCATTACAAAAAATGCGCTAAAATTTGCTGTTATTTTAGTAGACTCTCTGACGCAAAGAGAAACAAGTTTATTGTAATCAAAAGTTAGAATGTCCTAAAAAGGATAGAAAAAATTATTAAAATAATTTTAAACAATACTTTGGTCTTTCCGCGTAATAGTAACATAAACCTTTTGACGATAAAATTTTGTTTTCGTCAAGTTTAAGGCCGTTTTTATCATGCTACGCTCATTTTTCAGCGACCTCGTGAATATATCTCCTGTATCATATCGTACAATACCGGTGGCTGTTTGTAGGGTATGTCGTAAGTCCGAGTGGTTATTAAACGTGTAAGTCAATAAGTAAGGAGTGGCTGTATATTCAATGGTCAATTAATTTGCACGGAAACAAATGCTATTTTATGCTTATTTCTGATCAACTAATGACGTGACAGTAATTTAATGGATATGAGAATTTAAATATGGTCATGGTATCCTGCTGAATTTCATTTCATGTATTATTATGGGAAAGAAAGTTTTTAAATGGTTTTGAATTCAGCATTGACATTGGTGCGGTATTTCAAAAGCTGAAACTGAACCATTTCAAGTTTGCAGACAATGAGCAGAAAAAGAAAGAAATTCAATGAGAAACAGTTTCATGGGAGGAAATCACTGGCCATAATGGTTCGAGCTGAGAGCAAAGCTATAGTAGTTGAAATAGGCACTCCTTACAATGTCAGAAGTGCATCTCTGAATAGAAAACACATTAAAACTTGAAGCAGACAGGCTACAGCAAAAGAATATCACACCAGATGAAACATGTCAGATAAAAACCAGAAATTGAGTCTAAAATTTGCTAAAGATCACAAAAATTGGATAACAGGAGGCTAGAAAAATGTTACTTGGTATGATGTTCCTATTTCTGCTGCAATATTTGGATGATATGACCATAATTTGGTATAAACATGAATATATGGGTATATCCCACCTTGGTGGGCTGTGATAGTTGTATAATGGTAAAGAAAATCTGCAATGTCATTGGTCCTGACCTGGCATCTCGGCTTCTTTCATCGTAATTTTTCTAATGAATTTTTCTCTATGGTACCTAGATTTCTATGAATTTAGGCGTAGTAATAGATTGGGGGCTTCATCATTTTACAGTTGAAATGGCTAGATGGAACCGTAAGTTCTATGCTAACAGTTTCTTCTTTCGATTTTCTCGTTTATGGAATTCTTTTCCGGTTGCCTGTTTCCCAGTCAACTTTGATTTTCGAAAATTTAAATGTAACAATGAACACGAAAATAAATAAACCAGCATTCAAGTAGATATCACATATTCCATCGGATATTTTGCAGCAAGTATATATATATATATATATACATACATTATGAAATGGACAAAGTCCGACAATTATTTTAAGACATTTTTATGTTTAACATTCTTTTTATAGATACAAATATTTAAGTAAATGCTTTGTTTATAATAAACAGTATTAAACAACATTTGCCGGCCTGAATGTCCGAGAAATTTTCACAGAAAATATTCGTCCTCCGACAGGATTCGAACCTGTATCCTATACGGAATCGTCATTTAGCTTGACGTGTCTTTACCGATTTCGCCACGAAGGAGCGCTCGATTAGCAAGGTCGAATTTACTGTAAAATAATTGTCGGACTTTGTCCATTTCATAATGTGTGACGTCATTTGTTTACATTTGATACGCCAAGAGCAGATATGAATGTACGAGATTCATGGAAGATTGAAGTTTAAACACAGTAAATTCGACCTTATTTATATAATTATAAATAGAGCATTTACTTAAATATTTGTATCTATAAAAAGAATGTTAAACATAAAAATGTCTGGATATATATGTATATATATATATATATATATATCCAGTTCCGATGAAATCGAATAGAGTACACTTCCAACGTTCATAACATTTAAATTAAATGAAATTAAGAAATCAGAAAGGATTAGCAAAGATACCTTGGATCGAGTCAACAAGCAAATTCACCGACACCTTGGACATACAGTGTATTGGTACCACAGAGGTCATTACTTGGTTCAAAGAATTAGTAACAAAAGCAGCTGCTTTTTTATCCTGATTAATATTGTGGATTCCTACCCTTCCATCTCCAAGGATATCTTTATTCTGGCTTTGGAATTTGCCACAGATTATTCTATCATCTGTAGTGATGAAATAAAAATAATATTGAACCGTAGAAGATCAGTTCTCATCCACGATAATAAACAGTGGGTTAAGAACTGTGATGACCTCTATCTATAAAAGGCAGGATGTGTGTGTGTGTGTGTGTGTGTGTGTGTGTGTGTGTGTGTGTGTGTGTGTGTGTGTGTGTGTGTGTAACGAATGCACGGCCGCAATTTTCGACGGATTTGCACCAAAATTTGCTCCAATTTAGCGTCGAGCACCGACCGAGAAAGGAATCAGCTGAGACCACCACAAAGAAAAAGGGAGGGGAAAAAGAGAAAAAGGAAAAGAATAAACCATTAACTATCTTTCGGAGATATCATTTTGTTTTGGGAAGAGACCACATGTTTTATGTCCAGACCTGGCCATGATAAAAGTTGGCGACAGAAGTACGAAGGCGTTAAGGATATAAGGAGATTCTGATAATCACTTGACAAAAATCTCGTTGATAAATTCCAGATGACATTCAGTTAAGATAGTGATTAAGGACCACACTACGAGTTGTAGGGGTCTGGTCGAGGAAAAGAAAGAAAAGAAAAAGGAAGAAATTTTTTTTTTTCTTTGAGCGATAATTGTAAGCTGAGGCCAGACTGGCCACACTCACAGGATAACAAGGTGGCAGGAGAGGTCAGGGTGACGTCACAAGTAGACGCTCATTAATTTATTAAACCAAATATTTATTTATTTTCTGAATATTCGAGATATCTTATTGGGAAAATATGCGTTTCCCGGTAGGATTCGAACCTGCATTTGCAATGGTGAAACCATCATACATCTGACGTGCGCTAGACCTCTCGGCCACAGAGTACGCCGATAGTCATGCCAAGTTGAATAGTATCTATAAACGCAGATTTTTATCTGACTCTCGAAATAGACATATCTGCATATTTTCGTATTCTAACGTCAACAAAATCATTTCTAAAGAATGGAGTGGACTTTATTTATGTATTCATTAATCCGACAGATTTTATTACTTATACGTTATTTTTACAGAATACTCGTAGAACGTCAACTCAAATACAAGAATCCACTAAAAATAACGGTTTAAGTAATTAAAGGTGTCGAATTAATAAATTAAGTCTATCTGTTTCTTTAGAAATTGGATATATATAAGAAACTTAAGAAATATTCTTATCGAAATCACTAAAATTCTATATAAATCATATCACCTGAAACATCTTGCTATTAGAGAGGCCCTATACACAGTGGCGATTCTACGGAGGATGAGAAGGAGACAATCCCCCCACCCCGAATTTTGGATGGCCTCTCGGTTGGCCCCCCTATTTTTCTAAGTTTTGTAGAGGAAAAATATCCGAGCAGACAAATTACATTGTTCTGCTAGCATTGACGTTAGTATTAACCCTTTGATTTTGTTTCGAAGTTAACCTCTCTTGTGGTCCAACAGACTGAGAATGGAAAAGAGGGCAAGAATAGATTAGAACTCCACTACTATGAATGAAAAGTTATTCCGTTTAATTTAGTGAAGTAACATACTTATACTAAAACTCATTCCTAAGTTGCGTATAGTGGTATAATATGAAAATAAAGAGCTGCGTGAATTTGCCCCACCTTCTCCGCAGAAAAATCTCGACCCCCAAGTTACCCCCCATTTTCAGAGTTCCAGAATCGCCACTGCCTGTACATTAAATATCTCTTTCCCACTATCAATCTCACCTTATTTAACAATGGAAAAAAGTGTTAAAAGTTTTTTGGGTTTTTTTTTTTTTTTTTGGTTTTTTTTAAGAGAAAGATTCTCATGCAAATTCCAACCGCGTTCAACATGCGAATGCTCGGAATAAACGCTTCTATTGAAAACAACACAAAAATAAAATACAACTTAAACAATCAGAACATGAGGAAAAACTAACACCAAAAACAATCCCCCCCACCCTTGAAAAATGGCTAAAGATGTCACCGAAAGCGCTTGGTACAAGGATAATTATGGTAAATTTCTTTACCCACTTGCTCCTACACAGCGGATAAACGCAAAGACGCTGGAAAAAACTAAGAAAAAAATTAAAAAAATCTTCCTTGTCTGTTGTATTTAATGAAAGATGTTTAAAAGAAAGGTTGCTGCCTGAATATATATTAATAGACACACACACACACACACACACACACACACACACACACATATATATATATATATATATATATATATATATATATATATCGTGATTCGCCAAGAATCAATGTTTCGCGAGAAACAAGAATAGTAGCTCATTCGTTTTTTTTTAAATGAGTGTATGTTCCAATGAGTCCACTTATTTCTGGCCTTATGCCAAACTGTGCTAAACTTATTGAAATATTTATATTCATGTTTACATGTATTAGATATTTTGTCCTTTTTTTCGTGTTATTTTATTCTGTATCTTGCGCGCAAATATTCCATATGATAGCAATGGATCCAAAAGAGAGATTCCTTTGTCCATCCATCGGTTGCAGCCATAACTTTTTTGGCTGTTTCTTTAGCGCATTTCCCGCCTTTGATTCCCCCCCTTTTTGCCTCGTCTTCTCCTTATTCCCCTGTCTGGCCAGATGCTATTTCTGATTTGTCTTCAGTTATAAACCTTCCTTTCGCTCTTTTTCTTTGTGATCATTCTTCCGTTCACCCGCGTCTATGGCGCCATTGCACAATGGAGTCCCACGTTTATTTACACCGAAGTTTTTATGTCCATCAAACAGTCATCAGTCTATTTTTAAACCAGCAAGGTTATTCGACACTGACCGGGCTTGAAAGGAATTCTGAAACTTGGTGTTGTTGGTCGACTTAATTTTAGCATGGCACAGCTGGAAACTAATTGTGGTCATGTGAAATCGTTTAACTTGACCTGTTACGGCTGTTTATAGAGCTTCGATGGATATTCTACAAGTGTTTTTTGTCTGGACTAATTTCAGATCAACCGCCATGCCATATGTTTTTTTTTAAAAAAAATGCCTGAGTAACGGTTATCGGCGTGGAAAACGGAATCGCCGATCCGAGTTCAAGTTTCGGTCTAGACTATTACGTTCACTTTCTGAGTCAGGATAGGTATAAATCTATTTCTTTTATCTGCAGATATGTGTTTAATATCAATGTACATTTGGTTCTCTCGACTTTGGTGACGGCTAGTCTAGGAAGTGAAAACTGTTGAGAATAAAACGGGAAACCACTCCCCTATCATTCCACGGGAAGTTATGGTAATTCACAGATAATATAGAAAATGAATCTATGGAGAACAATGTTCGCATACGTAGTTGATAAATTAAATATTTTCAATTACTTTGCTGACTGTTTTTGTGATGTTTATAAATTATATAGGTGCTTGAGGTGTAAATAAACGTGGGACTTCATCGTTCAATGGCGCCATAGTTGCGGGTGAACAGAAGAATGATCACAAAGAAAGAGAGTAAAAAGAAGAAACAGCTAAAAAGTTATGACTACAACCGATGGATCGACAAAGGAATCACGAAGTTCTTGCAATTATTGTAAGTATTTACATTATTTCAATCACCTGAGGAAGGCTGCAGCGTACAACGGCCGAAACGTCGTGAATATGACAACAAAGATGAGGACAACAGTTCGAACAATTTAAATCGTGTAAATAATTATATAGTTATAGATCTACCAAAAAAAGGTGAAATGTTCTAAGAACTTGGACATAAATTTAATGTGGATTATCTAGCAATTAAAATTTACGTCCAGGTTCTTGCAGCATTCCACCTTTCTTGGCAGGTCTTCTGTTATAACAATGGGCGATATTTAAGAAAAATCTGCACGTCTTTCAAGTGCCACCAACAAGGAGGAAACATTGATCGTGTTCACCATATGGTGATAGATGACAAGCGAATAACTATAAATCAAACAGTCAATGTTATTAGCATATCCCGTGAAAGAGTTGAGAATAATTCTGTTCTATCAACTTAGCACGACGAAAGTCTCTGCACGGTGGGTGTCACGTCTTCTAACACCTGATCAAGAGTATATCAGACTGATCATATCACTGGAAATATTTGAGGCAGACCCCATCTAGTTTCCTTCGACGTTTCCTAACCCACGATGTGTGTTGGGTCAAATACAGAGAGACAACCCATGCAGTGGAAACACTCCTCCTCGTCTGCTCCAAAGAAAGTCAAGTTCGTTTCGTCTGCAGGGAAGATGATGGCCTCAGTTTATTGGGGAGGATGCAAACTAGGGTCACATCAGCAATGGAGAGTACCGGGTGTAACAGCAAATTGTTAGATTAAGCTTTGAACTGTTCTATCTTAGAAATGATTCTTAGATATCTTACTGGAATTTTCCGATGTTTTTAGAATACAATTGGACTCTACTTTGAGCAATAAGAATGCCTAATTACTCTCCAAGCTTAACAGAAGAATCATGATGAAATCGATCATAAACGAAAATGATATGTTCTTCATTAATTAATCATAGGTAAGTATCGGAAGCTCATGAAGGATTGAAATAAATTTCAAAAATATATATATATATATATATATATATATATATATATATATATATATATATATATATATATTATTCCAGAATCATTTTCCAACTTATTCAAGATGATCTTCGCTCTCCCTAACCTTGGATTGTCAGAGGTGAAATTCCTCTCTCATGTGCCAAATTTCATATGGATTAAGTTGGATCTTTTCTAACTGATCTCTTTAGCTTGAAGTTGAAATGATGATCCCTCTTCTTGTTGTGACCTCCTGGTTCAGTTTTCCTATCTACTATTCACTCTTTTTTAAACTTATTCACTGTTCTCTTGATGTTTCTTGAATGGACTTTGAAGATAGAAGCCAGTGTATGAATGTTGGAACTATTACTCAAGCCCTGAAGGATATTTTCCTCTCACCATTGCTCAGTTGAGAAAACAGTGGGGCTGACACAAAATGATTTAAACTGCTCCCTTTCTAACTGTATAACTTAAATGAGTTTTCCGAGATTATTACAAAAAAAAGGCGTCAAGATGGCTAAAAGTAAAAAAAAAAGAAAACCAATTAGTTTAGTGGTTTTTTAGATATTAAACATTTTGTAGGATGGACAATTATGCTGTTTCACGATTTTGACAATTTTGCTATTACACCTGGTAATATGCCAATTTGCTGAGGTATTTATCAAATGCTATGAAGAACAACAGCCCAGGAAAACTAACGAAAGATGTTTTGTTTCATCATGGCAATGCCCCGACATACGAGCTCTTGGTTTTAATGGCTGCTGTGCGTGTCCGTGGCTTTGAACTGGTTGATCCTTGTCCCTATTCTCCTGATTTGGCCCCACCTAGCTATCATCTGTTTACTTAAACACTTGGCTGGGAATCAGTATTGCAGTGACGATGACCTCATATCTGTTACTGATGACTTTTTTGACCAACAGGATGACAGCTTTTTTCACCAATGGGATCCAATTACTGTAACATCGACGGAAGAAGAGTGTGGAGCACGGGAGAGACTATGATGAAAAATAAACCTCATTGGGTCACATTCCATGAGAGTATCTTGGTCAGAATAAGAAATTTTAAGCCGGTCTTCGTATAAGCACATATACGCTGATAGGTTAAAAAACATTGATAAAGTCGGATGTTCGCCTACCTGACAATTCCTCTATTTTTAGTATTAAAGCTATAGACATAGATTTAGCTTTAGACATCATAGCAGACAATAAACCAAAGGGTTTCATAGTTTTCTCAGATTCACTATCTGTACTTACATCACTGAGAAACAAAAACACAAATAATCCTTTCATTGTTAAATTACTCAACAGGGTCAATCTCATCTACAAGAAAAAAAATTCCGTTGGGTACCTAGCCATATCGGTATCCGTGGAAATGGAAAAGCTGACATGGCAGCAGAGGAATCCTTAATAATGAACATTTCAAATTTGAAAATCCCTTATAAAGACTTCAAAGCAACTATAAACTCATGCATTCTAAACAAGGGGCAAGAGTTATGTAAGTACCATCAAACCAATAAACTTTACAAAATTAAGAAGATGTCGTCTTAGGAAGAATCAGAATAGGACACACCTATATCACTCTTCAATCAATAAAGGCTGACCAATTGGATAGAAAATTCTTTTAGATGTAGACAGTCGAGAAAAAAGAATCATAGGAAAACAACGTCCAACTTAGTGAGTTTCAGTAAATGGATTGCAGAGCAAGGTTTTTTTTAAATCAATCTCGTCCCAAGCAAGGCAGTAAAGCCACTAAGACACAAAGGGACACACCTATATCACTCTTCAGTCAGAAGATAAAGGCTGAGCAGTTATATCATTAGTTCTCAACTGGTAGTCTATGTAATATTACTATCGTCCATTCAAATAATAGCATATTGGGGATCCATTGTAATATTTTAGTGGTCTATAGCGAAATTTCACTTCGGAACGGTTGTTACAACTGAGAATTAGAATCTATACAGCAATCTACGCCATATTCAAATACTAAAAATAGAAAGAAAAAAACAACTCTAAAACTAGCAGAAAACGAGATTAAGTGATGTAAGCTGGCGTACCTTTTTATTCTACCGGATGTTTTGATTGTAAAAGTTGAATAAAAACTGAGAAGGATATATAGTGTACATAATTGTTCCATAGAATTTAGTTGTTAAATACAAGTTTTTTTTTCATTAAATTAGCACAGCACGTCAGGAGGCATATACTGTAAAGCCAATTCTAGCCGATTGTAGTGACCTTGCTTCTATACGTCAATGATTTTATGACTTGAGTAATCTAGAGGACCTTTTCAAGAAATTAAAAGTAGAGTCTATACAAGCCTACTTGAATGAAACTGGACTATATCACAAATTATAGCACTACATAATTCAGTTCTAATCGTGTAACTGGAGAACCAACCATTATTCTCAATTTAATTTCAACAACAATTATTTTCATTTCATTTTTTTAAAAAAAGATCATTTCGACATTAAATAAGATATAGTTGATATGCTGTTAAAACTGAATGATTAATCGATAATTATATCTTATTCAATTATATATTCACTATTGTTTAATAAGATAAAGAACAAATGGGCAACGTTTATAAATTTAACATGTTTCGCTTTTATTAAATCTTCATCAGAGAATGGGGTATGAAGAAAAAGAGGAGAGATATTCCGGTATTGTTTGCAATGACTTATCGCTTATCGAAACCTTTTCAGTAAAACTCCGTAGGTTTTGATGTGAAAATGTTTTTAAAGAACTCTTGAATCTGGTTATCATTACAGAAAGTTTTAACCAAGTTAAGTCAATAGCGTGAACTTTACCGATTGCTGTCCCATGCAAACCAAAATGAAGCTATTCTCGTCTCAATATGCTATAAACACCGCCTGTCAGGTTAAATTGTTTCATACGAAACCTGCCTGCTTATTGCATTCTATAAATATTAGGGGGAAAGATGAAATTCTATTCCA